AAAATCAAACGTATTATATTAATTTAGTCTAGAGGGAAAGGAATGCTTCCCTGTTCAGTAATTTCTCAAGTCCCTTGCCAATCCTAACATCCCCTGATGTTTTCATATTGCTTATGGGGATTTTCTTTTGCATAATCTAAAATAATTCAAAAGGGTGAGTAGGTAAGTGACTGGAACATAGTGGGATGCTAAAGATGAAAATAACAATGCAACAACAAAGGTAGTACGGTGCAAAAGGAATAACAAATGAAAAAGCAGGAATTATTTGATTCCCACTAAAATCATAACCAGACTTTTCATCTGCTAGTCCCATGAGACCACACACCCCTACCCAGTATCAGTCCCATAGGGATTCAGAAGCTTCTCGCCACCAGAAATCTTCCTTAGTCGTTCTGAGATTGAAAGCCACCTTACCTTCCATGATCTGCCCTTTCAGTGAATTTCAGCATCACCTGGCTTCCTACCACTTGTTTTAGTCTAAGTCCTACAAAAGGGGACCCTCCAAAAAGTCTCATAAGATGCTTCAATACAAATCTGTTCACATGAAACTTTTAAGAAACATGGGAAATGTGAAGTTCAGTACCGGAAATAAATGTTGAGGTGTATAGGGCCAGAGATAGCTTCCAGTAAATCTCAGTCAGAAGAGGTGGAATAGAACCAAATTTTCCCTGATTTAGTTGTCCTCTTCCCAGAGCCAAGGATTGAAAAAACAAAAACTACAGCAATTGTGAAAGTATGAGTTCAGTAACTTAGGGATAAATTGCTTACAACATTTTAAAGTAAAAAAAAAAATATCCTCATGCTATCCAGTAACACTTACTCACATTAGGTGTTTTTAATTTCTCTCAACTATTCACACTTACATTGAACTTTAAAAGGCTTTGTAGCAGTGTAAAGCATATTAATATTTTAAAAATGTTTTTTCCAATTATTACAAAATTAACCACAATTTTAATTTGTGAGCGGAAAACATCATCATTAAAGGGACTACAACACTAAAGGGAAAACAAAGCTCAGAAAATGTGTTTACTTCCTTGCAACATGAAGTCTGAAGTCAACACAAAAAGCATGCAAAATAAAATATGTCCCAAGAGAGACCTTGACTTGGCTTGAGAGGTGGGCCCGTGTAAACCTCATGAAGTTCAACAAGGTCAAGTGCAAGGTCCTGCACATGGGTTGGGGCAATACCAGGCACAAATACAGGCTGGGCAATGAGTGGATTGAGAGCAGCCCTGCAGAGAAGGACTTGGGGGTATTAGTGGATGGAAAACTGACTATGACCCAGCAATGTGCACTCACAGCCCAGAAAGCCAACCGTATCCTGGGCTGCATCAAGAGAAGTGTGGCCAGCAGGGCGAGGGAGGGGATTCTCCCCCTCTACTCTGCTCTTGTGAGACCCCACCTGCAGTGCTGAGTCCAGCTCTGGGGACATAAGAAGGACATGGAGCTGCTGAACTGAGTCCAGAGGAAGCCACAAGATGATCAGGGGGCTGGAGCACCTCCCCTATGAGGACAGGCTGAGAGAGTTGGGGGGTTCAGAGCCTGGAGAAGGCTTCAGGGAGACCTTATAGCAGCCTTCCAGTGATTAAAGGGGCTACAGGAAAGATGGGAAGGGATTCCTGATCAGGGAGTGTAGTGATAGGATGAGGGGTAATGGCTTTGAACTGAAAAGGGGTAGATTTAGATTAGATATAAGGAAGAAATTATTCACTGTGAGGGTGGTGAGACCCTGGCACAGGTTGCCCAGAGAAGCTGTGGCTGCCCCCTCTCTGGCAGTGCTCAAGGCCAGGTTCGACGGGGCTTTGAGCAGCCTGGGCTAGTGGAAGGTGTCCCTGCCCATGGCAGGGGAGCTGGAACTAGATGGGTTCTAATTCTAACAGACTGGGTTGGAACAACCCAAACCATTCCATGATCCTATGATCCCTATTCCTACCCATAAGAAACACTTCCTAGGTCCAGTTCTGGAAGTGCAATTTTAAACAGGTATGTTATGTTTAAACAGATATTCTCACATCTGCTCTTGTGTTCTGTACAATTCACAAATGTTTTACCAGTGCAGCTATAAAATCAGGAGAGTTTATGCCCCTCTTACCCCCCACTAGCACTCTAGAGTACAGCATATTTTCCCAAATTACATGCTGTGATCATCACTGCTAATACAACAATTCTGCTAGATCAGAATTAAATCCAGGAACTCATGTACTTTCCCCAGCGTGTAATGAAAGCTCCAAGGAAGACCATCACAAAAAATCTCTGATCTTTGGTAACCTTTTCTCCCTCTAGTGGCTTCTACACATTTGCACTTGTAGGATATATTACCCTTCAGTATTAATGTAAAAAACAAAAAAACCACCTTAATTAAAAAGCAATTTAAGGACTGCTCTGCCAAATGAAGCATTAGACTCAGCCACTAGGTTGTAAAAATATGGACACAATCCCATGTGGCCACTTTATATACTTTATTCGATGACTGGAATGTGTCTGAGCATGCTGTGTAAAATCAGTCCTTACCACTTAAAAAGGTCACAGAAGCTGAGGACATACAGTTTTCTAAAACACAGTATCTAAATCCATCTGAATGTTTTGGAATATACATTTTTACCTCTTCTTTTCACACGAGTCTGAAAGTGAATTATTGCTCTCATATACAAAAACATAGATTCTCCCTACTTCTGCAGTGCCTGAAGTGCAGAGGTACATTCATCAGTAACGACATCCCCTCACTATTTTCACTAAAGGTTTAAGATGAGATCATAGTACTACTTCATCTTTATGAATTACTCTGAATAATGCTAAGTGCTTGCAACTCATGCTTGCAACTGATTTCAAGACTTTCAGGAGCTTTTCTCATCAGTTTCAACAGTCTTCATTAATACTGAAAAACAAAATTACAATGCAAAAGAGCTTTTGTAGCCTTAATGAGACTAAATGCTAAAGGCATGTAGAAACATTGTAAATATCTTGCAAACAAATTAGTTATTAATCAAAGAACAGAATTCTTATTAATAAATAGACTTAAAATGGAAGATTTAGATATTTAGTGTTGGAACATATATTCTAGTATAAGCTGATCTAAGTGATACAGTAGGTGAAATATTATTACTGTTTACCCACATATAGAACATCTTTCATCTTAAAGTGTAAAATTTTCTATGAGATTTTTCTATGAGATTTTACTCTTGACTTCCATGAAATAAATGTGGCAAACATTTAAAAACTATGTTTTTTTAGTTTTACATCTCTGAAAAAAAAAATCTAAACTGTATTACTATCATGGACAACACTGCAGGCACATATTTGTTGCAGAGATCCTGAAGGATCAGGAAGCAGCATCCTATGCAGCTGGTCCAGTTCCCAAAGAGCACTTGGGACCAATATCCGTAATGCATCTGTACCAGGTGCTGCATATAAAGAGAGAGGCCTTTTCCTTGGTCCATCAGTGAAGAGATCATGAAGCCTGTAGTCTTCAGGGTAGCAAATAGAATTGATTGATAGGTGGTTTTGGTGGGTAATGTTTACAAATTAAGTGTTTCTGTTTGGATAATTTCTGCTTGGTTTTTGAAAAGTGTTAAATCACTTTGTATTTAAGATCACTTGCAATTTAATACAGTATTGTGGGTCTGGAAAACATTGCTGCCTGTAGCAGTCACTTCACCTTAAAAATACACTAGTGTATATTATATATACTAGTTTATTTGTTTTATTTTCAGCACAAAAAGTGTACAAAATAATGTATATGGAAGTTGTTGGCTTCACAGTGCAAGAAAAGCGATAAAAAAATAAATTATCTTTCCACACCAAAACATTCTGAAGTTCTGCATTCTAATCCCCAAAAAAGTCTATGCCTGAGTGTCACACCAATGCAAAGATTTTGTAAGTAACAGTATGAAACAAGTAACGAATCTCTACTATCATCCACCTGAGCAATAGTTGAATATTTTTAATCAAGTGAAAAAGACATTTTTTCGAAAAAGATTTCGATAGCATGATGGACACTTGAATCAATCACATAAGCAACATTTCCTCGTGGAAGGACAATGCTTCTTGAAGACTAATTTGTAGTATAAGGTTCTCTCTTTCCATACAGTCAGCAAATGTTTTGGATACAACTCCACTACTAACTCTTTTAATGTAGGACCAATGACCTCCACTTTACTAGAATCTCAGTTACTAACAACAGACTCCCATGAGATTAGTTTTCTCAACAGCAAAACCTGTACAGGACAAAGGGAACGGTATGTAATTATGTTGGATACCCCTCCAACACCTTTTTTTTTTACATCTTCTCATGTTGATTTATAGAAGCCAAAGAGCAGACAAAACAAGTAGATGAAGCAGTATTTTGGAATAAAATTTTAATTATAGCTTACTGGCAGAATATTAGATTTGTGACCTAATAGTGGGCACTATAATCACCACTAACTATCCTTTGATGTAGGTTTAATGCTACTTGTATTAAGAGGTTTGCTGGAGTGAATTTTTAAAATAAAATTGTCTTATTTGGGTAAAGTTAAAAGTGTATAACACAAGTTTTTGACTCATGATTAGACTACATGCCTATAAAAATAGGTATCACTAAAATAATATTTGCAAGCCAGCCTTCTATAAAAAAGGAACCAGACTGAAGGTCCAGACTGTTTCCATTCTTTTGCTGCTGGAGGTCAGAAGGAACTCAAGTTGCTAGAATGTCATGTCTCCTTTTATTGCAATGCCACTGCAACATTTGGAAACAATGAAGAGACAAGAAGAAATGTGAGAAAGCTCTAACAGACACTTCCAGCAGAAATACAATTCCAGAGCTGCACTCAATTAAACAGGAATATGCAAAGCCTCTGCAAAGGAGAAAGAACCCTATTATTTTCTTCATTTGAAATTCTGTAAATGATATAATACATTTAAATTTTACTATGCAAATATCATTGTGTACAAATACCATAGGCTGTTGGGTTTGGGGATGTTTTTTTAGTTTTTTTTAGAAACCAGCATCAACATATTCTTACCTTTTTATCTTCCTTAGACTTTCTAATACTGTGCGGAGGGCCAAACTTGTTCTGCATGCAAAACATCTTCTTAGACCATTCATTTTTATGAGATTTTAACTGTGGCTGACCAAAGCTGCCATCAACTCTGTATCTGTCAGCTGGAATCTTATTCATTGGCGGGGGAAGAGTCCCACAATTAACACTCGACCAGCCGTCTGTCGAATCAGTGTACGACTCCTGGTCACTAGCATTTCCATGTTGCCATTCTTGTAAAACATGCACAGGCAACCACCTTTGATTGCCTATGCCTGCAGCATTTTTCTTTGATGGGGGTACCGAATTTCGTGAGGAAACCAGTGGAACTTCAATACGAGCAGAAGGACTTAAGTGTTTGCTTACGTTTTGGGACTTATCATTCTGAATTACTTCTAAAGGAATGTTTCCTTCTTGTTCATGACAGAAGCCATTCCAATGGGAAGCAGGCTGATTTTGTCCCCTTCCTACTGGATTTTCCCATATGCTGTTAGGAATGTGTTTACTTGGATTGCTCCCTAAATCAACCACCAGAACTCTATTATTCTTTTCTTCTTGGTTAAAATTCCCAATTCCACTATCACTGTTACTGCTTGTACTATTATTCTGATGAGCATCTGCATCACCATCAAGAAAAGCCCTCGCACGCATTCCCTCAATCAATTCTCCCATATCCCTATACAAGACAGAAATAAACTGAAGAACGGGTAGAGATGATGTTGGAAACTCTAGACAGCCATTTGTGTCTGGATCTGCTGTACATTCCAGTCCAAAACGTCGTGCTATGCCCTGGTGAATTTTATGATTAAATAATTCGGGATCCACCATAAAAACATGGCAAGATGTCCTCAGAACTCCTTCATCTTCCTGAGCCAAGCTTACATCATCATTTGTCTGCATTGTAACTAGTCCAAAGAATCTTCTATCATCGGGGCAAACAGCACTGAATGCCAGTTTCTCTGCAGGATATTCTGCCACTACACCTGATTTGTCACTGCAGAGCTGAATACAGTCATGCATTATCTTCATCATCACTAGTGAATGGATTTTTTGTTCTGCCCGCAGACGTCTCATGCATCCACGAATCGCCTGCAAACTCTCATTTTCCAAATTCGAGGTTGTTGAAGGAAGCTCAATTGAGCCTAGGTAACCCACAATCATGGCAACATTTAAAATGCTTGCATCTAATCCAAAGTCTTCTGTGCTCTCCAGTCCAATTCTAAAAACAGAATCATCATTCAGGACTTTGGATATTTCTTCCTTTGACAGTAGGTTTGGATTACTTACACTTTCATTGCCAGTTTCAAATCTAATAGCATCAGAAATTGAAAACGATCTTTGTTTCGGTGCAGAATTGTCTGGGTTACCAGCACAAAGAGTAGGATTCTCAAAGATCATGTTGAAAATGCCACCAGACTGCATTTCTTCAACAACTTTCTCTGCTCTGTTTATGCCCAGAGCTTTAGAGTCAGGTTTGGGTTTCAGCCATCCCTTCCCATCATAAAAACCAACTTCTTCATCACTTGAACAGGAATCCATATGACTAATCCCTTCAGCAATGACCATGTGCAGGACTCCAGAACATTTTCCTATAAGTTTCACTACATCTTCATGAGAGGCCTTTTTCACATTGATTTCATTAACTGCAAATATCTGATCTCCTGCTTTAAGTCCAACATAATCTGCAGGGCTTCCTTTCATAACACAACTAAGAACACAAGGAGCTTGTCCAGAAAGGGTAAACCCATAACCTGCTCTTCCTCTAGCAACTTCCACACTTCTTATCCGAGGAGGAGCATGCATGTTGAGTCGACGTTTGACCGTTTCCCCTGGTCTATACATTTCGGGTTTTTTTCCTGAAATAGGAAAACTTTAATTAGTCCAGTTTCTTGTCATGTTTCAAGAGTATCATTCCTTCATCTGATGAAGCTCTGAAGAAAGAAAAAAAAAAAAAAAAAGACATTTTAATTTTCAATCACACTTCAGATTTTTTAGTACCCAGTTTTCCCTCTACTGTTCAGAAATATTGCTAGTGAACTCTACCAAAAACTATTGCTAGAGAATTAACACAACACTCAAAACAATCTGAGAATAGGTACCACAGTCTTAATTTTACTGATGAGAAATAAGTAGCAAATGCATATAAAGTGGCTGTTCAAAATGACAAAGTAACTGAATAGCAAAGAAAAGAACAGAATGTAAGTCTTTTGAAGTACAGCCAGTGGTTTTATACTACAGCATGTTACATCTTCCCCAACTCCACCACGTTACCTACTATTCAGTTACCTTCTGGCTTACACCATTGCAATACCACCACATTTTACAGCACAGTGGAAATCCTGGACGAAGCTCATCTACCCTTTCCCAGCAACACAAAAATTAGAGCTCAAGTGTGTCTACTCAGCTATAGCCCACCCCCCTTAATACTCAATGTACAGAAACAGGTACCAAATGTGTCCATGTAAAACAGGTTAGAGAAACTACCACTAGAGTTGCCTGTACCTCTCAACTGACTGATTGTAAAGGCAGCTTAAAATATGTATCTCGAAGTTCAATTTTCACACATACATTTCAGTTACATATGCAACAACAAATGGGCATTCAACCATGTATTAGACCAAAGGAATCCAAAATCAGATTTGCTCTGTTACACCCATTAACTAATCTACTGAAAAATAATTTGTCAGAAAGCAAACACTAGAAAAAATGCATTTCAGTCATTCCAACATCCATGTGTTTTAGTTTAGCTTAAAAATTTAAAAAAAAAAAAAAAAAAGAGGAAAAAAGAAGGAACTCCACATGCTGCCAGTTAATCTACTCATGACTTTACAATTAAGATAAAGCATCTACATATGAACAGCAAGAAATAGTAGATTTGATTACATTTTGTTGTTGACACTGAAGTCTAGATGTCTTTGTTCTAATTATACTCAGGTAAATTCCATTGTTTTAGAGAGGTTTCCTCCACTAAGCAAGTTAAAATGCATAAAAAATGTTTTAACACCAAGAACAGAAATGACAACTTGTTCAACTTTGGAAACTAACCCCTTGTTGCATGATATAAACTCTTACCTCTACAGGTTTGGAGGATAACTGACTTAAGTAACTGGAGGACTACAGCTACATAAAATTGCAATAAAGTTGGTCTCAGGAAGTGAGAACTAATCTGAAAATAATTACTGATCTGAGCTGGTCCACAGGCTTATTCATACCTTAGCCACTTTGTAACATACTGAAGTGCATAAGGTACTTGAAAGCAAGTATCATGTATATGTGGGCAAAATGTGGGCAACATTTTAAATAGATACATATAAATATATATATATTCACACACACACACACACACACACACACACACACACATTTGTTTGTCACATATAAAGTGTTAAATTAGTGGTGTCCAAGCCACTACTTTCATGAAAGAAAAATGACCAAGCAATCCTTTGATATTGCTCTCAGTTACAGAAATTACCAAAAAATCCACACTGAAAATGTGACACGATCCACAGCACAGTACTTTCACAGTATTGCTGCCTGAGATAGAACAAACAGAAGGATCAAGACTTAAAAAATTTCACACACACACACCCCAAAAAAACCCCACTAACATACAATTAAAGATCAAAGTCTTAACTATTCAACTATGTATGAGCTGTTTGATTACCAAAATATTAAAACTACTGTTGTTTCTTGAATATTCTGCTAAATACTCAACTATAGGATGTGATACCCGTAAGACCCTTCCAAATTCTAAACAGGACAGCCTTCAAGATACTAGAAGACATTCATTTGGCTTTATTTTGGGCTTTTAATTTGTTGGGGGTTTTTTTTAACAAAGGGACCTCAGGTTTTTATGTCTCCATGGTGCAGCTGTGACTGTTCAATGTAATATGTTTTTTTGCAAATTGTTTTAATATAGCAATTATCTAGTTTCAATAACAACAGTTCCCGTATAATTTGAGAAAATAACTTAGCTTTCAGTAATGAAACTTTATGCTTAACCTCTGAATGTAAATCATAACATAAAAAATGCTTTACAAACACTTAACCAAACTCACACATTGCTGTAAAAGACCCCTGTCAACTTGCATCCAGTCTCATGTCTTAAACATAGATTGACCTTTTCTTGACAAGGCTAAACTTGTGAACCAAGAGACCACTGTGCATTCAGCTATCTCTAAATAGGTCTGGTACTTTCTGAGAATAATCATTAAACATTTCAAGATATAGTTCTCAACAAAAAAAAAAACAAAAACAAAAAAACCCACCACCAACCAGCAAATGCCCAACAGCAAATAAAAACCTGATATCTAGGAGCATTTTAATTTGCCTTACAGAGAATATTTCTGTTCTCAATTGTCTGGAGAATAGCCTGATGTGTCCCTTGGATACCTCCAAAACTGTGCTGCTAACCAAGTCAACATAAGGCACTGTAGTATCTGGCACCTACAAGTGTGCTACTAGCATGCAAGAGCAAAGGAAACAATTAAAAGAGTGCTAGATTATAAATAATCTGATCAAAGAGATATAATAAAAACAGTAGTTATAAAAAAAATTAACATTCAATATTGTAATGGTGAAGTGGCTAATAAGAAAAACAGATTTTTCCAGCTATCCCTAATCTACGAAAATATACCCTAAATTCAACTGTAAAAATCACACAATGAAAAGGTAGTTAGGCTCCTCTTGGGAAGAAGCAAACCCCAGCGCTTGTCTACCTCATGATTCCACATTAGCTATGAGAGGATTCTTTTTAACTCTGTTCACAAGTCGATTTATCTGTTTGCCTTCCTAACCTATGCCCCTTACACATCAAGCATTTATTCCAGATCGTAAGCACCAATGAGGGAACGTCATTCCAAAACCTGACTACTATAAAAACAAAACAGCAGGCTGCTAATAAATTACTTTTCTTTAATGATGAAGTTCTAGAGGTATGAAGACTTCCAGCTACTAATGTGTTTGTGTAATTTTGTGAGTGTAAAGTTAGGAAGCAATCAACATTAAAGGGGCTTTTGCTATTAATGTGTATATATATCAATTAAAAAAAAGCCACCACCAAAATTGTGTTACATCACTGGAAAAGCCACCTCTTCCCTCCCTCAGTAGCTGAATATTATTGCGCATTTTTTGCACCAACTGCACCCATGACAAATAACAGCTCACTAATTTTATCTAGGAAACTTCAAGACAAAGGACAAATGTAGCTATTCTGCAAGAACCCTCAGTATTCAAATGTATTTTACTGCAACAATGGCATGACAGGCAAATGGAAAAAATATGAAAACAGTGTTTCTCGTAACCAGAGAATCCAAGAGAGATTAGCTGAGTTACAAACTGTTAACAAGCAGGTTCCAAACTACATTATCAAGTTATCTAATTGCCTAAATTTTCTTTTAACTTCTTTGCAGATTTGAAACCTGGAGTTAAAGAGATATGGCACAAAAAAGGCACAAAGTTCTGTAGTTTCAAAGTCATCCTATGTCTGAACGTCCTTCTCCTCTAATAAATTACAAAATGTGTAGTAAATCCAGTAGAACAAAGACGTCATTTTAGTTGCACTGATATAAAGCTTTGTAGGTGTCTGCATGTTTACTAAACATTAAATTTTTAGTGAACCATATAACCTGTGATAACTGTCACCAGTAACCAACAATAAAATTGAGCTGCTGATTTTCAGTTCAAATTAAATACTGAATCTTACTAAGACTACCAATAATATACTACTGTAATTACTTTTAATATTATAGCACTGAATTTTATTAATTTGATAGCATAACTACAGTCATATACAGTAGGTCAGAAAAACAGTTACACCACAATACTACACATGGCCAAGCTTACTTTGACCTTCTGCTTTTACTAAGTATGATAAAGTAAGTCTTAAAGAAAAAAGTCTGTTCCATACCAAAACACATTAGTACTAGTTAAGAGAATATATGCATTTTATACAAGAAAATAGGCCTATAAAACCAAGTAATCTGTAATACATACATCTTTAGCAAACAATAGTTTTGTGACATTTCAATAGACTTATTAAACCACTGTAAATATAGAATTCCTATTATTTGAAGAACACTGCAAATACAGAATTAATACTATGATTTCAGAAAGTTCATCAGAATTTGTACCAACCTTTGTAATACGACACAGAATAAACACAGTTTAATAACTACAAACTATTTCGCAGGACATTTCAGACAGAAACACTAACATATATAAATTAAGCGTTGTTCAAGTACATGAGATAACATAACTTGTCCATATACATCAGCTTTGTCGCAGAACTGCAAAAAAAGAAACATTAGAGTTTTCTGCCAGCATACATTCTGATCTACCATATAAAGGAATTATTTTGAGGGTATAAAAGAGCAAAAACACTAGTTATAGTTGAATTGCACTTTATCCCACAAACACTGCATTTCTTTATGTTATGCTTTTAAATATCCATGCTAGCTTTTCATGTCATTTCAAACCCTCTAACTCCAGAGAAAATAATACTTATTTGCTTACTTTCAAGAGAGAGAGGTGGTTTGTTTCCTGCTTCTGCTCGTTAACTCATAGCAACAAAGAGAGCAAACAGAAACAAGAGGCGTACTCCTGCTATAGTCTATGTTAGACTATAACCTTCATAGTTACAGAGGGCAGTGAGGGAGCATGTGAAGTTTAAGCCTATACTAGTGACCAGCAGTTAATTTTAAAAAGCCTTTGGAAACTCAGCACTACAGTATCCCTGTTAATGTGCTTTTTTGTTTGGGGTTGGGTTTTTTTTTTTGAGAAAGAGAACTGGTTGGTTTTGTTTTTCAATAGTGAGACTGTAAGAGGATAAAGAGTGAAAAGTGGAAGAGCATAGAGGAGAGAGACTGTTCCCTCATCCCTCACACACATCTTGAAGTATTCCAAAAGACTCTTCAGCATGAGTGCCGC